TTCACACACACATGGTACATCATGTCACAAATAGATATGTGCCTTTGTTTCATGATCTGCTTAACAATAGCGAAATGATGGCCATTTTAAGGCCGAAAATGCATCAAAATCACGTATTTTCACAATTCCAGAACCGGATCTCAGTCATGCATGGATGGATTTTGTTCAGATTTAGCACAATGTGTTGTACATATGCAGGTGCATTTCGGTCATGATCTGCTTTGAATGTATATGTCACTCAAATATGAACGGAACGGGGACGTGTCATTGACAATGACTTGTTGTCTTTTTAAAGTGAAATTTTTGAATTCTTGTTGAAAACGGCAAGTCCCATTGCATTGATACTATACATATTGTTCATTTTCTAATGATATCTTCTGTTCTTTAATTGAAATGTGCATTGCTAACAGCGGAGCTATCTTAGCCAACAAGTTGCTTGTTACTTAATCGACTTCTTCTTTAAAACTACAATTCTTATTGTTTTGATACTATACATATAGATACCTCATTCATTTTGTGATATCTTCAATTTTCTAATTTTGACGAATATTTTTGTAATTTTTGGTAAAAAGTGATATTTTGATTTCTTGTTAAAAACAGCTATGATACTATACATATAGGTATCTCAGATTTGCTTATTTTCTAATGATATCTTCAGTTCTTTAATTGAAATGTACATTGCTAACAGCAGAGCTATCTCAGTTGAGAGGCTGCTTGTATGTTTTCAGATTGTTCTGAACAACATTTTTTATGTGTTTTCATATTCTGTATATTCCAAATCCAGTGACACTGCTTTTTACGGACTTGGTTTCCAGGTTATTTACCATATTTATCCGGGTATGAGCGCAGGGTCCTGAACATGGAAAATTGAGAAAAAATAGAGGTGGGCGTATGCCAGGACATCCCCTCCAAAAAAAAAAAAAAAATTTACAATGCGCAGATCGAACTGCGGCAGGGAATAGAATGGCAAATGAAAACATGCTACAGAAATAAATGAACAATATGCGATATTAACAAGTATAACAAAAATAATTTATTGCTTATAATGTGACAAATAAACCAGAAATAATAAAAATTGACAGTGAGAAATCATTTCTCCACCGACAAACACGCTCAATACGCGTGAACTCAAAGTGAACTATAATGTCTGGGGTTAAACTGCGTAAAATTATTTCCGGTTTTGACAAATTATGGATCAACTGTCATACAAGATCAATAATATTTTACAAATTTACACAGTAAAAATTAGTTTATTGACATCTTCGTCGATGTCGTCGCACACAATTTGGACTTCGCACTTTTAATCCACGGATTTTGCTGTCTGCTAACTTGGTACTTTCAATTCATGTCTAATCACAATAAAGAATAAAAAAAAATGGGGTCGCTCCGCTATGTTAGTCAATTTATGTACCAGGTGACAGTTCTGGACATTGAATGTCATTGTTGTCTATCCTGAATTTTGTTATGTACATCTTTCTATCATAAAACAAAAACAATCATCTATAAGAACCTTAACCTAACCAAAATCGCATCCCTTACTGAATAAAACTCGGGCAATGGATTTAGCCTTCTCATTGAGTCTGTGGCAGACTCGCCCAGGGTAAGGATCAACTCTTTTGAATGTTCAACCCAAGGTAAGATTTGAACTCGGGTCTACCGATCATGAGTCTGATGCAACAAACTCTATGTTATCGGTGAAAAATAACTAATTGTTTTACCTGATATGATTGTGCTTTTGCATAATATAATTATAAGTTTCAAGCTGAATTTATTCCAGCACATACTAATATGTAGTATTTGTGATTTTGTACCTGGTAACAAAGTTTTCATTGTTGTTGTCTTTTTATCAGTCTCCCTAAATTGTTTGGATGTACGTCTCTCACCATAGGAAATATTGATTCGCTTTTAACTAAAATCAATATTACAATCTGTCAGTATCGATCAAAGTTGATTAATTATGTATATCATGCACTCTGCTGACAACATGTGTTGTCAAATTTGTTTGGAACTAGGTGTCAATGGTTTCTCAGTTTGAAATTTCTCTTTTAAAAAGGAAACTCAATTAAAATGCATAGTTTCCAAGTAAATCTACCAAATTTGACGTGTTTGTTATTATCTATAGATCCGTTTATAAACATAATCATCGACCGTGCTTACCTGACCAATGATGACCAGGTAGTGATTCCCGACACTGATCCACGCTACAACCATCATGTGACCGGCCGAGCTATGCAGATTCGTTACAATCAATCCAGCGGTTTAGATGCCAGTGTATACACTCCATATAAATTGATCAAAAGAGCTATTCATAAGTGTGGATCTCATTTCACAGTAAAAGGTTACAGTATTGGAGCAGGTAAGTCGCATGCCATCTTCATTACTCTATGTTTCGTTAATAAATCTGTGATCCCCCAAAAAAGTTTGACCTTTTGTGACCTACACTTAATAATTTGTTTCTAATAGGTCTGTACCAAGATAGCGTATACATTGACATGCGTGACAATTTTGATGCGTGGGTGGAGTCTGATCAAGTTTTGCCGAACGGAGAAACAGAGGAAGAATTCAGAAACAAAATGGAATTGTGGCTGCAAAAATCAGTCGGTGAGTGAAATTTGCCATAGGATATTTGTCTAGTATATTTATTATAATTATTATAACACAAATTGCTAATATTTGGATTATGTGTTACTTCAGTCAACATCCACAAAGTCGACACAGCGGAGCTGTTAATATTACTGATTGTCTGTCGTAGCCGTCGTCGTCGACGGCGTCAACTTTACAATTTCAACTTCTTCTTCGAAACCGCAGGTCAGAATGTTTTCAAATTTGATATGCAAGTACCTTGGATGGTTCTTTCTCAGATTTGTTCATTTCATGTCAAAATTTCAAATTCTCTATTTTTGGTGAATATTTTTGTCATTTTTGGTAAAAAGTGATATTTTCAACTTCTTGTAAAAAACCGCAAGTCCAATTACATTGATATTACATATATAGATACTATATGTGGACCTCTCTCAGATTTGTTCATTTCGTAATGATATCTAATTCTCTAATTTTGATGATTATTTTTGTCATTTTTGGTGAAAAGTGATATTTTTGAATTCTTGTTAAAACAGCAAGTCCCATTGCTTTGATACTATACATATTGTTCATTTTCTAATGATATCTTCTGTTCTTTAATTGAAATGTGCATTGCTAACAGCGGAGCTATCTCAGCCGACTGGCTGCTTGTTTCCATATGGGTATACGATTATAATTATACACTTTCAATTCCACAATTTTTTCTCACAAACATTTTCATTATCACAGAGGGCCGTGTTATTGATCCTGACAACCCGGCGCGTGCCTGCCTATTCTCTGTACAACCCCAGAGACAATCACCAGATTACGAGCATGTCCATCCCGAGCCAGTCCGGCGACGTCGAGCTGCAGGTGTGGATCCTGATTCCTGCCAGCCAAGATCTGACACTCCATTTTGTTCTATACCAAGAAACACAGAGATAAGCAGGTATATTGTCATATTTTTTTCACAAAAATAAATCTGCTATTAACAACATGTGTACCATAGTTACCTTAAAAACAGACCCAGCATGCATTATCCCCTGATTTTTCACATCTAAGTGCCCAGATGTAAATGCCAGCTTCTGTCGGTGTTCTGTGATTTCCTCGTTATAATAACTGACCCATCATTTACAGGTTAAGATCATCTGGGAGCAGGTCACTCGGAAACATCTGTATCATGACAAGGATGAGGTTAAAGAAGCCCTGGATAATTGTTTTGGAGCTTGTGGTACTTGTCAACAAGGTAAAATGTTAATTGCAGCATATTTGCTACTGTCTATCTAGAGGGGAGAGCATAGATTAGTATGCATTCATAGTTTATAGCACTATATTTATCTGATAATGTTCTATACATATATGTATATGTATATGAGTTAATATGACATTTTAGTCATTCTATTTGTGTACTCTGAAACTCAATCTCCAAACAATATTGGATCTATTTTCTTACTGTACTTGACCAACTTTTAGCACCCGTGCTTTTGAGTTTTTGAAGGTTTCCATTTTTGGGGTCAAGTTCAACTTAGCGGTCATTCCTTTCGAAAAACGCCCTTAAGTTTTGAACCTCAAATCATAAAGTCTGGTCATTGGACATCATTTATCTTAATTACTACAGTGTCCATTGTGAATGTCTTTAATGGAATGTAAACAGGTTAACTCTGCTGATGTATAGGTGACCTGTTGACAACCTGGAAAGAGGATAAATACTTCTCCCATAGTTTACCATTAAAAATTGCAAAACAGAGTTTTGCAATAAAATCTCACTGTTTTTAGCTCTGTTGTCGACTTTGTCGAGCGGAGCTTATCATATGAGTGATTGTCTGCCGTCATCGTCCGTGTCAATGTTTTACTTTTTCGACTTCTTCTTGAAAACTACAAGTCTGAATGCTTTGATACTTGGTGTATATGTACCTTGAGTAGACCTCTCTCAGATTTGTTCATTTTGGAATGATATCTTCAATTCTCTAATTTTGGTGAATATTTTTGTCATTTTTGGTAAAAAGTGATAATTTCGACTTCTTGTAAAATACGGCAAGTCCGATTGCTTTGATATTACATATATAGGTACTACATGTGGACCTCTTTCAGATTTGTTCATTTCGTGATGATATCTTTAATTCTCTTATTTTTGTGCATATTTTTGTAATTTTGTTCATTTCATGATGATGTCTTCAATTCTCTAATTTTAATGAA